TTGTGTTGTCCTGTTGATGATGAAATGAAATGATAGTTTTTCTAATGAGTTATCATCAGATGTTAGTGTGTCTAGCTCTGTTGTTGACATGGTATTGTGTTGCTCTGTTGACTTCGAAATGTTAGTTTTTCTAGTTCTATTGTTGACTTGGTATAATGTTGTTATTTTGATGATGTGATGTTAATTTTTCTAGTTCTATTGTTGACACGGTTTGTGTTGTTCTGTTGATGATGGGATGTTAGTGTTTCTAGTTCTATTCTTGACATGGTATTGTGTTGTTCCGGTGATGAGATGTTAGTGTTTATTGTTCTATTCTTGAAATGGTATTGTGTTGTTCCGGTGATGAGATATTAGTGTTTCTAGTTCTATTCTTGACATGGTATTGTGTTGTTCTGGAGATGAGATGTTAGTGTTCTTGTTCTATTCTTGACATGGTATTGTGTTGTTCCGGTGATGAGATGTTAGTGTTTCTAGTTCTATTTTTGACATGGTATTGTGTTGTTCTGGAGATGAGATGTTAGTGTTCTTGTTCTATTCTTGACATGGTATTGTGTTGTTCCGGTGATGAGATGTTAGTGTTTCTAGTTCTATTGTTGACTCGGTATTGTGTTGTTCTGGAGATGAAATGTTAGTGTTCTTGTTCTATTCTTGACATGGTATTGTGTTGTTCCGGTGATGAAATGTTAGTGTTCTTGTTCTATTCTTGACATGGGATAATGTTATTCACATGACGAAGGACATTTAGTGTTTTTTATAGTATATAGGCCAAGGTTCTAGTCATGTGATTATTGTATGATATAAGTTATAAATAAAGATATTCATATTTAAATGATTACTCTTTTTGTTTCAGAAAATGAAATATTTTTTACAGGAAAATACATGCAGATTTTAACTTGAAACCACAAACTTCAATTCTAAAAGAATATTCAGATTTAGTTCTTTCATCTCAATTTCCAAGTATTTGAAATTCGAGTTCATTCTGATCAAACATAAAAATGTCAATTTAATCCAATTTAGTCGGGAGATAGGATGAAATTTAATTCGAAGGACGTGTTTATGCTGTTCTTAATTGAATCAATGTGTAATTCAATGTGGTTAAAATGATCAATAGTCCGACTTGAAACCAGAAAAAATGAATCGAGTGTCATACAACATGCAATTATTGGTGAATTTGGTTTATGTTTGTAATGGTGGTTAATAGCTGATACTAGTATAGAAATTGTTTTTAGTTTTCTCTCCAAGTCAACTTATAAGGTAAATATGATTGATAATCGTTAAGGTTGAAGTCAGTAAGGAAACTTTGATTGATTTCCAAACGTTAATAATAATTGTTAGTTATTAATTATTGGTGGAGTCGAAAGGTAAAGTACCTCTTGAAACGTCCTTTTAGATCCATTTCTACTCATGTTGAGACAACCCACAGATCTACAGTCCTCAATCCGCTAAAATCATAAACCGAAGAAGACAAGCATGTACTCCGAAATTGTAAAGAGTTACGTTCAATATGTTAGTTGCTGCTTTTATAAACATTCTTGATTATTCAAACGTGTTTCAGCTTATGATATTGATATGGTAATTTGGGGATATCGGGGTTTTAACACAGTTGAAGACAAACAGATATTGAAAAAAACAACCAACAAGTATTGTGAAATGATTATAACAAATCCCTTACAATCGAAGAGACGTGTCTGGAAATGTAATAACTGTCACAAAGAATCCGTTTTTCTTCAATTAATTCAAATCTCGGCATATCAATGTCTTGTTAGATTTCAAACGGAACCGCGACGTGATCTGGCTAGCTTTACAATCCCTTTTTATCCTATTCTATCTATTTACTAGGTTGTGTAAACGGAATTCAATTATCATCTTCATTTATACTAGATTATTAAATAATTTTCCTCTTGGATTATAACGATTGATTGATCATAACCTACATCTAGTTGGACGTTGTTGGCGTGATTCGCGTCAGTTAAGAGCAATTTTCTTACTTCCTAAATGACCAGTTAACCACTACAATTGATATAATGGCACCAAACACAATATACTCTAGAGACAGCTCGATAGTTTGTGGTTTTCGTCACTCAGAGACTATAATCGCCTCATTTTCTTAGTAACAACCCATGTGTCCTGAACCTGCTTTCTTGCCTGATGATCAATTTCAATCGACTTAGACTCCCATTTGTGGTATGTGTCCATGTGTCTATGGTACATACCCGTTGGTCGTCAATTGCAACTTTCCAAAAAGGCATATCAAACCAACGCATTCTACTAAAATAACAATACACAGAGAAAGAAATTACCTATATTAAAATCTAATAAGGGCAATTGTTAATTGTAAATGTACAGTTAACCGCTTACAGCACTCTGCTGCAACTAAAATTATGTTAAAGGCACAAGTGGAAAATTACCACTATATCTAATAATAGCAGAAAGTGACATTACGAATGAACTTAATTTATTATAGATTGATGAAGAGTGACAGTTTAAATTATTAAATAAAATAGAACCACCTCCACAAATCTGTTGGAAAACGGTATTGTGGAAGGGATTCAAAAGAGATTTCCTAGTCCTTTTACATCTACCTAGAACACTTATTATCGGACAAAAAATCACGTTTTTTGGCTTTGGATAACATAACATAATCTATCGTGTTGGAATCACGATAGTGCAAATAACTGAAGCAAGAAAGCCTTTTTTGAACCCTCGCGAATTCCACATAAATATCCTTTTTGCTTTTTGCGTCATATAACAGGTACCAAAAATTCTTTTTGGACAATAATTTAAAAGTTAATTTAGATCAGGAATTCATTTTAACAAATCCTGTAAATACATACATTATACTCTCACACCCCAGAAATGTAAACTCTTCTAAATTCGAATGCACCGATGTTCTTCTAACCTTTAAAAGCAAGAGGTCAATCTGTTGGTGTAACTTAGATGTAGACTTGATTAACGATTTTCATCCAAATTAACACGAACTCTTCGATATTCAGCTTAATTTGAGAGACTGTAATGTGATATGTTAATCCTGTTCGACCTACAGGAGTTCCAGGAATTGTATATGTAAATAGAAAAATGTCAGGAAGGGCGAACTTGAGACTGTATTGATTCCAAAACCAATTTAATCTAAATGATGAAACCTCACGTTTAGTCTAATCCCCTCCCCCGACCTAGCCACTCTCACTTTATCCTTAATGATAATCCTCTTCTCATCTCAATGTCTCATTTCTTTACCAGTATTTTGATTCCATTTTTCTATTTAGTCACTCCAATTCGATTTAAATAGAGTTCTATCAAAGTAATTTTCAACCATAGTGCATCTTGAGGCAACGTGATAATGTGTTGGAACATGACATAACATGGACTGCTATTGCCTTACTACTGTGGTGGTTCAACGAATTCGACGTCTGCTTGCTACTCGTTCCCATAACATAGTCGAAATTATTGGTAAGGGTATCATGGACAAATCAAGGCCCAGTTTACTACATGGAGAAATTGAAGAAATTGCTGTTCTGGCAAAATTTTTATCAATCAACACTAGATTGTGTCTCTGTCTTCATTGAATCATCAGGAGCAGATAGGACCTACCTCAACTCCATTTCAATTGGAACGCAGCAGAGTACCCAAAATCTTGCTACAGTGGATTGTTGTTGCTCTAATATCGCCACTGTTTTGCTCATTGGAATAGGAATGGAATGGTTATTGGATCTAAATGAAATAAGGCTATGTGCAAAAAGGGCGCGTGTAAAACTCGATCTATTGAAAATTGTTAAGAATTGACACAATAGAAGGTTATGAAATTTAAATTCTAGCAACAATTTAGATAATGCCCAATATGCAGTAGAGAGTTTTTGCATGACAAAGTGAAATATTGCACCAAATACATCTATTACATCAAGTTAAATACATTATTTAGGTGGAGAATTTAATTTAGTAGGCAGCAAGTCCTCACTAATCAAAGGACTTGCGATGAAATTGGTCTCATCAGATTAGCCCATTACCGTATCGATCGTAGGAATAAATCTCTTATTTGCCAGGCTTTTGACGTGTACTCTATTGTTTTATAGATAATTGCTCACACCATTATGAAACTGTTCAATATCGAGATTCAAGAATTTTCTCAGGTCCTTACCAAACGTCTGTCTACCATTTATTCGCTTCTAATTCTTCAAGAATCAATATAATTAAAGTTTAAACTGGGGTAGCCCATCCCAATCTATTAAGCTTCACAGACGTTTGATATTCTATCTATAAGAATAGTATAGGTCAAATTTTGTTGAGAAAGGATTGGTCCTTTGTTTTCAATTTTCCCTTTGTTGTCTTTTACCTATTCTATAGACCCTGGTAATTATTACAGAGTTTGGCAGTAATCTGCGATTATTAATATGTTGAAAATCAGACAGAACATTTTTAACAAGAAACGCAGCTATACTGAATCTGACACCTCTTAATGCAGCCAAAATACAACGTTCTCTCCACCTCTTGGTCTGTAGCCTGCAGCCCCCTTTTCGAGGATATCTCGTGTGTCAAGAATAATATATTAAATAAACCCTTTTTGAAGACACATTCTTGGTAAGCGTTTTAGAAATCCCACACTTATTTGATAAAATATAAATTTATTGTAGAGACATTAGTGGTGGTATATCTTATAATATTAATTATTACAATAAACATGTCATATTGAAATATCCATCCCTGTAATCTAAAGAAATCCCTTTTCTTAGTGACTGATGGTTGAAATTGAACATAAACCTTATAAATATTTTCATTATGATACATGTATCAGTTATCACAATCTATAGTTCTATCATATTCATAGTAGTGACCCTCGAATCTGTCTAAATTGAATTTTGATATATTAATAAACGCTTTTCGGGGTAAAATATACTATGTACGTAAATGGAATATCGCTTCGTGTAAAATGGACAGGAGACATACAAAGATAAACACATAATGAAATGGACTGCTGACATGATATATGAAATAATGCATGAACTAGATCATCGAAAGCTCAAATCTGGCAAATCATCATCAAGTAGGGAAGAATCGTCCTCATCTGATGTTATACTGTATAAATTTTTATTGGACATTTTGGTAGCTTTATCCTGAAATTCAGAACGTCCATACACTTCGTCCATAAAAAATCCATCGTCATTATTGTCTTTATTCTGATTGTCATCTTCAACATCACCTATTGTAAACAGATCTTGTTGAAGATCGTCCATTTTTCTATCCTGAATTGTCTCTGGAGCGTCCACAGACCCAGTATCATCGTCCTGCTGTAAAGGTCTTCTAGACACTGAACCAGAACTTTTTCTCGGAGACCAATTCTTTAAACATGGTAATAGATGTAAACGTCTGAAATGAAGGGAACATAGGCCTAGTATGGGATTTTAGGACAGCTAGACAGAAATAGTTGTTGGTGATTGCGAGTTCTTTGCTGTTTATCCATTGTGATAGGTGTGATGCTGATTCTACTACGAGAGTCATTTTCTTTGTTTTATCATTTTGAAAGAATTATTTATTTGATTGTATGAAGGGAAACAACTGGGTAAAAAACAGACAACATACAATTGAGTTGATCACGTAACTTACCGTTTCTTATATAAATAATATAATAATATCAAACAAAATACACAAATCAATATGACAGATATTGAAAATCCAATCGCCAAATTTTTACTGGAAGACGGCATATCAGAATCTGGAATAATGAATAAAAGCAAACTTTAATCAAAATTGCGAATACCAAATCAAATCTTATCTTTAATTTCATCTTCAGAAGAAAAATTCGACAAGCGGTCAGTCTACAATTAGATGAAAACGAGCTGTACAACAGATATGACCAACGACACCGTGCGTCAGGGAAACTCTACCTCCCATTTGGGTAATCTACTTTCCTCTTTGAATTGTATAAGAACATTAATTTACTGACCTGTAGTAGATGTTACATTAGGACTGTATGTTATGGTATAATGAAGTGTTGTAGATGTGGTAATATCTGAAGCTGTAGAATCATTGTCTGCTAGTAAACTAGACGGATCTGTTTTGCTGCCTGTCAATTCTTCAACCATTTATAATAATAACCTTATCTTCAAACTCCAAACCTAATTGAAAATTCAAAATTATATTTTGTAAACTTGTGATCTCGATTACTTCGCTCATAAATGCATATCTGAGACAAATCTTTTGACTTACCTGAAGGGAAATAACTCAAAAACCTGTGATCGAAAATTCGTGTTCATCCATCCCATCTCATCATAAGCTTTGTCAAAAAATGTAATATTTCGCACTGTATACCGGACACATTGTTTCTGTTGTTATGGCGCTGAGACACCCTACCCCCTCTCTCCTCCCCTTTCATAAAGTTTCGTTCGAGGATTTGTTACTTGTTTAAGTACATGTAGTTATGATTGTTTGACAAATACAACTTTGCTAAAATATATTTTACAATGAAGAAATGTTGTTAGATGTTCTTACATATGAAAAGCTTATCAAATGACCTAGATTTTTAAAATAATGTTCAGGTAGAAAAGTATTTAGTGACATGCTGTTATCTATTATTATTCACATAACACTCGTTTATTTCGGTGTATGTTTACTATTTTCCTATTTTATATGCATAGATTCTTCCTTTAAAATTACACCAGGAAGACGATGACATAAGTGCATTACTAAACTCTGCCAAATTATATGTCGTGTTTTTGATATAAACATCATTTATATATTTATATTGATCAATTCAAATCGAAAAACTTTCTGATGAATCAAACTCTTAACGTATGTAAGCATTAAACTAATGTCGGTATAGCCATTTCATAACTTGCTGCAAAAAAGTTGATACTGATATGATGACCAGGGACATTTCTAAGTGGCTTTCAGTAGTAAAGTAGAGTGGTAATACTTTCATTCTTTCTTACACTATTATAATATATTAAAATAAAATCAAGTCTTTATTGGTCTATACACGATTTATGATAGTGTCTTTCTGATAAGGTATCATATTAAGGGGCGTTTACCCTATAATATACGTTATATTGTCTGCATAATATGGCCTATATTCTATTCTTAAACAATTTCTTGCAATTGTTCCTCCGATGGTTCCTTTTCTATTTTATGACAATTTTAAATACACGATACTCAATGTATAACGCAATTCTTTGTGTATTCTGTGCTTGTTTTAAAAAGTTTTCTTGTAAGATTACACAATAGTAGGTTATAATAATAGTTCATAAATAACTAAAAATACATTCACCTGTAGCTGTTCTGCTGTTCAAATAGTTCCAATAAATAGGTAATTTGGAACTAATAGTCACATGAAGTAGTCTTTTTATGGATTTCACAATACATTTGTAATGCAATCTTATTGAAACAAGGTCTAATACCCCTTATATCATTGCGGTGTCTTCCGTATATCCGTGTATTCACATTGACTTTGACCACAGGTAAGGGATATAACTCTTTGGTAAATTAACTATCGCCTGTGATCTTGTAATCAGTAGCTACCAATAGTCAGATCTTATTATTAGTTACATGTAGTCAAAGCTAGTTGTTATTATTCGGACGTATCTCTCATTATTCAAAGCTAGTTGTTATTATTCGGGTGTATCTCTCATTATTCAAAGCTGGTTGTTATTATTCGGACGTATCTCTCATTGGTCAAAGCTAGTTGTTATTATTCGGACGTATCCCCCCTCGGTCAAAGCTAGTTGTTATTATTCGGATGTATCTCTCATTGGTCAAAGCTAGTTGTTATTATTCGGGTGTATCTCTCATTAGTCAAAGCTAGTTGTTATTATTCGGATGTATCTCTCATTGGTCAAAGCTAGTTGTTATTATTCGGATGTATCTATCATTGGTCAAAGCTAGTTGTTATTATTCGGGTGTATCTCTCATTAGTCAAAGCTAGTTGTTATTATTCGGACGTATCTCTCATTGGTCAACGCTAGTTGTTATAATTCGGACGTATCTCTCATTGGTCAAAGCTAGTTGTTATTATTCGGACGTATCTCTCATTATTCAAAGCTAGTTGTTATTATTCGGACGTATCTCTCATTGGTCAAAGCTAGATGTTATTATTCGGACGTATCTCTCATTGGTCAAAGCTAGTTGTTATTATTCGGACGTATTTCTCATTGATCAAAGGTAGTTGTTATTATTCGGACGTATCTCTCATTGGTCAAAGCTAGTTGTTATTATTCGGACCTATTTCTCATTGGTCAAAGGTAGTTGTTATTGTATGGACGTTTCTCTCATTAGTCAGAGCTAGTTGTTATTATTCGGACGTATCTCTCATTATTCAAAGCTGGTTGTTATTATTCGGACGTATCTCTCATTGGTCAAAGCTAGTTGTTATTATTCGGACGTATCTCTCATTGGTCAAAGCTAGTTGTTATTATTCGGACGTATTTCTCATTGGTCAAAGGTAGTTGTTATTGTATGGACGTTTCTCTCATTAGTCAGAGCTAGTTGTTATTATTCGGACGTATCTCTCATTAGTCAGAGCTAGTTGTTATTATTCGGACGTATCTCTCATTAGTCTGAGCTAGTTTTTTTTGTTCGGACGTATCCCCCATTACTCAGATGCTTTTGTTACATTATCTCTGATTAAGTGAGACAGGTGTATTAGTTAAACATGCGAATCCCTGACTGTTATTATTCGGGCGTAAATCTAGTTGGCAATAGTCAGTTACATATCTCTCTTTAGTCAGATCAAGTTGCCATAAGTTAGATATTTCATTAGTCAAATCTAATTGTCATTGGTGATGTACCATAATTAGTTTGATGTCTTAGTCATTGGTCAGATATATCTCATTGGTCTGATCTAGTCGTCATGAGTTAGATACATCATTCTTTATTCAGAATTATTTGCCATTAGTTACATGTATCTATCATTAAACAGAGCTAGATGTACATGTATCTATCATTAAACAGATCTAGCTGCCATTAGTTAAATGTACCTCTCATTACTCAGATACCATTATTAAGTATAAATCTGTTCCGTGAGGGAATTTGTCGGGACGAACCCAGTTTTAGAGTGGCATCATATGTTCTTAAAAGATATAATTTTAAGTATAAAATAAGTTTTGCTTGTGCCACACTACACAAGTATTGTAAGATTTCATGTCAAAAGCAAAAATATAGCTTTCTTATGCTGAAAGTTCAATAATGCATGTCTCCATGAAAACAGTAGTTACTGATATACTTCTGGTTCTGACAATCCAAGACCAACTTCTAGAGCTATCATTCCATCCAAATAACAACAGACTACTTATATTTTACTATTTATTTATTTCAAACAAGTCTTATACTTGAATCCTTTTATTTTTATGTTTCTAATTATATTAGCATTAAAACAACAAAATTGATATCCAAGCTTAGCTATAGGTCCACTGTTATATACAAAACAAAATCATTTTATAGTTCTCAAAATTCAATAATTTGCTACATTGTATTATTTTCCACACTGAACACATCATGTTATAATATTCCAAGGTCTAGTCTGTAATTTCTTTGCTAGAGTATTTCTTTTATCTCAGACACATTGAGTCAGTATAATTTTGACTGCAAGATTTTTTTTCTTCAAATGAGATGGGATGATATATAATGATAGAAGATCTAAAAAAATATTTTATAGTGTAATCATAAAAATTATGATGGGTGTCCATGTAGTTCATTTATTAATTTTTTTCCAATCAAATTTTTTTCAATACCTAAAATAATTCTTATTCTTGAATTTCATCAATATAGATGGGAATGTGGTTTTCAAATTCATTGAGAAATAAAAAAAGATAACAGTTTTCAATAAAATTTCTGTACACAATAACAACTAAAACAAGAATCACAGATAACAAGCAGGATATACAATTAACTTTCATTTCGTCCATAACAAAAAAAAATGACCAAAACAATGCTAAAATGGTGAAAACACCATGACTTCATGATCCAGTAGATTTTTTAGCTCAAATTTTATCTAAACCAATATTGATATTAAGTTTTTGCCAAAATAAAGATGAAAGTCCTAGTTTTACTTTAAGGGAATGTTTCTTACTTCCATGTTAATTCTATAAGAATAAAACAGACTAAGAAAAATAAATGCCTACAATTTACAATGTCACATTGTATTCATTATACAAAATTATACAAAATCCATTACAAAGCAATATACAAAATGGAAATAATTGAAATGATAAATACACAACTATACACTTTACAGCCTTTGAAAATAATATAAGTTATCACAAAAGAAAGTGGAAAACCTGAGAAAAATAAAAATAATAGAAGAGTGGTAGGACAAAGTTTTGTTATTGCTTAGAAACAAAAATAAAACCAATTGTTGAAAACATATCATACACATTATACAAAAAATCTGCTTTAAATTTGCAAATTTCGTCAAAATTTAATTGAAGCACATAAAGGAACAATTTTTACAAATATTTCAAATGAATATGAAATAAATTAGCACTTTGTAAATGTTGCATATCATCAATTTGTAATTTGTAATTCATAATGTACATGGACATTGTAATTCATATTGCACATCATTTAACAATTCTCAGGATCAATAAAACCTAAAATCACATAATTAATAATCATGATATAAAATAAATCCCTAAAAATTGAAATAACCATTCAGTGGTGTAGCAAAATAAACCGATGCTTTCCTGATCAAATTTCTTTAGCGCCTGTTTTACAGAGAAAATAACCATTAAGGAATTAGTATCAGGGAATGTTTATATTTTGAAGTTTCATAAGGTTACAAATTTTTTGAATAAATCAAAAACATAAATATCAACTTTCTTTTTGGAATTAAGTTTGTCTAAATTTCTACATATTCACATAATCACTTGCCAGATTTAAGTAAATTTAAAATCTTTCAATAATTTGGTCCTCTAACCTTTCATTTAACATAGATAAAAACTGATCAACAATTCTCATAACTATAACAATAATCAACAATAACAACTTTTATTTTTCATGATAACATCAAAAACAGACAATATCCTCTAATCTCCTAGTGTAAATTTACATCCAACAAGTTTTCATTTTCTTCTTTGTCTATTAAATGAAAACCATTTTTGTTCAATGTAGTCATGTCAAGCCAATTTAAAGTTTTTTTCCAAAATGTAACTCAAATTAAAATCTTTCGGCCTAGAGAGTAACAATAGGAGAAGCTTATGTAATTTTAAGTTTTAAATTCCTGGTTTTTATGCTAGAATGAAAAGCAGTACCCATCTTTAAACAGAATTATTAATCATAATGTTGCTAAGAATAATAGAATTATTTGATAATGCTGAAGATGGGGTATTGAAGATCAAATAGTAGACGATTTCAAGATTTAATTTTTTGCTGGTATGAGCATTGTGAAAAATAAGTGCATTATACACCAGTGTATATAAAGTAATAAAGTGTGTAAATTATTAATCACAGTATACACGTTGGTTAAGATATCCAAGTTCACCAAGTATACAAACTGCAAGTTTTTAAGATATCAAAGTTTTCATATTGGAAATTAAGATATCCAAGTTAACACAGTATAAATATTGGAAATTTAGATATCCAAGTTAACACAGTATAAATATTGGAAATTTAGATATCCAAGTTAACACAGTATACATATTGGAAATTAAGATATCCAAGTTAACACAGTATAAATATTGGAAATTTAGATATCCAAGTTAACACAGTATACATATTGGAAATTAAGATATCCAAGTTAACACAGTATACATATTGGAAATTTAGATATCCAAGTTAACACAGTATACATATTGGAAATTAAGATATCAAAGTTTTCATATTGGAAATTAAGATATCCAAGTTAACACAGTATACATATTGGAAATTAAGATATCCAAGTTAATACAGTATAAATATTGGAAATTTAGATATCTAAGTTTATACATTTTGGAAAATATTAAGATATCCAAGTTTACAGTATATATGTTGGAGATTAAGACAGTATATTCCTTTGAAAATTGTTAAGATATCCAAGAAATATGTGCCAGTAAAAATCTAATAATTACCACCATTATATTATGTTTTTATGATATATCAACTCTTATAAGGTATTTCAATAAATTAATTATATTTTTACAAATAATTTAATTATATTTACAATATACTGCCCACAATATCTACATTTTATCTATGTAAATAGGTGATAATATTCAGTGCTCAATTCGCATGTCTAAAATTAAGAATATCAAAAGATGAAAAAGTAGAAATTGAGCATGAAAAATGTATTCCTTTTATATTTAAGTCATTGTCGCCATCAAGGAATAAATTCTAAATGAAGTATGATGAATATATCAGATAGTTTTGTAAGACACTAATTTTCTCATAAAATTATAATTTCAAATATGTTTTCTTCAGGTTGGAAATAGATATGTAGTATTTATCAAAATGTTTGTTCATCTAAAACCTTGTGTATTAAATTATGCTCAAATTTTAATATCTTCATCATGACAGAATTTTTATTTTCAATCTATTGTAATTTCTTGTAGATTTTTCATGATATAGTTCTAATGAAGACTGATAACAATGTTTACTTAAAAAGTTACAATTGTGTCAAAAACAGCCCTGCTTTAATAGTTGGAGTCAACTTTTGAATGAACTATGCCATAGTGTCTATTGCACTGAACCAAGGTTTAAATCTAGGTTGATATCAATGTTAAACTGTAGTTTCTTCTCCAGGACCAATAGGATAACTTCTAACATACATGTCTTTATGAAATGAATCTGAAAAAAACAATTAAGTATTTCAATTAGAGAGATACAAATATGTGGTTTATATACTTGGAGAGATTAGCAAAGAACTAAAAAAAGAATCAAAACAAATTAAAGAAAATACAAAATGAAAGAATTGAGAGATTATAAAATTGTAAAAATTTTCAAAATAATATTAAATCAAAACAAGAAAAGTAGCTGATGAAATAAAATCTTGATATTTTTTTCAGATTCTTTTTCCATATTATTTTCCCTTCCCATGAAAATTTAACCAAAAACCATTAAAAGAAAATAAAATATTAAAACAGAAAAAGCAACTAAATCTACAACATTCTGGGCTTATACACTTAAATAAGCAATAATTTTGCAAAGTTGACAGTAATGTCTAGACAGCAGAACATAAGCAAATTTTGGCAACTGGCAGTTGTTAGTGCCTTCAGGATTACAGCAATTGATCAAATTCCCCCAGATGCTTCCAGTTGATGAAAATATAGATTCTGTCAGTTGTAATGTTGAGTTACCATTAAAACAGATTATATAATGTTAAAGACATCAATACATGTACACACAAATTATAAGCATAGTGTAGACAGGATACAATTCAAACTTAGCTATTTACTTTGCCTTAAAGCTTGGTAAATAACACTACAGCACTTTTCGTTTCTATATTAATATAGCTTCCAATATTAGTTTATATTATACAATACACAGCAATCTATTTGAACATGTTATCAAAAACATCATAGCTCATCTGGCTCATAGTTCATCTTCACTTGATTGGATAATATTATCGCTGGAATAATCTCAACCAATCAAAGTGATTGAAATTATTAAGTGTAGCTCAGTTATCCTGTTTCTGATAACAGTCCATTGGTTAGTAATTGATATATTCTAGCCTAGTATACGTTATTTTTCTTTCACCTTCTTACCTCTTATTTACAATTTGATAGATTTTCTCTTTCCTAAATAGAAATGTATTCCTTATTTTTTGTTTGTTGTTTAAAAGATTTGATACAATTAGTGAATACAGATTTCTAACAGTTTGAAATGCCCTACAGGGATTAAGGAAATTGAAATATGTATCTTATGATTTTCTGTCTTTTGGGAAGACAAAGGCTGGGAATAGCATATTTATATCTTTTTTAATGGAAAGTTCAGGAACCCATTGAAACAGAAGTAAGAAATACTTACCATTACTGCCTGATGATATAGAAGGCGATATATTTCTACGTCTAATTGGTTCGAGATATGTGGACGGTACCCAGCCTTCACTACCTAGTGATAAATGATGAGCAAACCACCAACCATTAGTACCAACTCTTAATATTTCTACTATATCACCATCTTTTAAACCTAATTCATTATCATCTACAGGGAAATAATCTGCTAGAGACATGAACTGTTGGCGGAATGAAGGCTGGAATAACATAGAAGAACCAATTTTAAGAACCAAGAGAGATTAGCAGTCCAAAGAAAAATGCTGAAACCATGACAGGTCATGAGAGAAGTCAGAATTTAAACAATGTAGCTGACTAATATCAAGTTCTACTATGCTTGTAGTATACTATCTTTGTAATATTGTTTTTTGAGACTGGATATTACTTTTTTTCTAACAGAAAAGGATTCATCTCAAGTGTTTCAGGTATAAGGCTCATGAAAAGGTTAAGTTTCCATTATTTAGAGCTAATTAAGTTTAAAAGATCACATTTGTAAAAGAGCAGTAAACGTTAACCTTGTTGATGGGAAAGATAGGTTGCTTTTTAGGATCATACCTCTATTTTAGGAATGTATTTTTCAGGTTCTTCTTCATCAGTATTTGAGAACTCTCCACTAGACCAACCACCTTCATCATCTTGATAGTCTATTGGTGGCCCAGTAGGTGATTCTAATGGCGACACCATACCTAAACCTTGTGGTACCGTAGAACTAGTAGAATTATTATTATGACCATATGACACCTTCCAAGTCTCAAAACTAAAATAAAACATTACGAAATATTACAGATAAGCAATATTTTTGAGGATAGGTTTATTTTTTTTTGTAAGCTATATTTTATTCATATAGAAAAGGATTGGAGCTCTATATTACCCCTGTTGAAGATAAGTTAAAATCAACATCCAGGAAAGTATGCATACAATTGCTTCTTTGAAAGTCAGTTTCATGCCAATGAAAGATAAATCCAGCACAAAAACAATCACATATACGGTGATCTATAACTAATCATAAACTAATAAATTTTAATAAACTTACGTATAAGAAGGAGCATCATATTTTGGTACACGACTTAAATCTTCCTGAGATAATCTTAAAGGATTGGGAGGAGACACTGAAATAAATATATAGACTTTCAGTACATGATCAATAAATTAATTACCATTTCATGTGTCAAATGACAAATCTGATTGATGGAGTTGATTTGTTACCTAGCAGAATGAATTTGAAATGAAAAAGGTGAACTTCAAAAAAGTCTTCAAAATATTTTCTTACCTTTGAGTTGATCAAATTGGTTGAGAAGAACTTTTTTAATTTCTTTCACCCAAGTATCTTTTACTTCTAGAGTAGGTGCCTGAAAAAATAAAAAACATACAAAAAATAAACTTGGGAAATGATTGAATGAATTAGCGCTTAAAACTTACCCAGCTGATCACAAGGAGATTTTGATTTTGAGAAAAACGAAAGTAGAAAAAACTCATAGAAATCACATCTTGGCCTGAAACAAGGACTATTCAAATTATCTTTATATATTTTTTCATAAATTAAAAGACTGAGATGAATAATTTAAAGTTATATAGAGTAAACTAGGGTTAGCTGTGTCAATCATGTTTGATTTGAGCTCCAAATGTTAACCTCTGATTTCTCTTATGAATTTTCCCTTCATGATAAATATTGCAAAGAGTTGTAAAATTTTAAAAATGACTGACAATTTATATAATGTTGGCCTGAGAGAAGATTAATACCTGTATAATATACACTTCCTCTCTACTACGTAACCACAATTCAAATCTTCTCTTATCTCCCTTTACTGTTTCGGTTAACCCAACTTGAGACAGCTACAACAAAAAACACATGGATTTAAGATGATTTTATCTGGATCAGACTGATGATTGATAAAGTCATATTTATTTCATCTTTATCTTTGCAAAAAATGTATAATATATATCATATGAAAGTGAAGGTTGATTGGTTTCACTGTGAGTGGTGAAAAATTGATGTTGATTGGGTTTTAAGCATAACCTATAGTTCTTGTGTTCCAGCCATATATCTTGAACATGTTAGTAGCACCTGCTAGCAGTAAATATGGTTGATCTATGGTGAACACTCAGGCTTGATTTATTGAAATACTTAATTTCACTTTTTATGAAAGCACAAACCCTTAATGCATATAGTTAAACTGAATCATTGTCAGACTGATCAAAATATTCTATAATAAAAATATACCCTTACCTTTAATTTCTTTTTAAAACTATACACAGCTCCATCATGTTGAGATTCTTCCCGTTTTTTACAAAATAATAGAGATTTCTCATACAGAAACACATGTCGGTTCATAGCACGTAATCTTAGATCTTTTAATTTTTCTTTCTTATGATCTGTCCATACACTAAAACTAGCATGCATTAATAATCTTCCTTGTTCAGACATGTTCTCCTAAAAAAATACAGAAATCATGTCATAACATTTGTTTGAAATACATAATAATATTATAAAATATTAATGTCAGATGAAAAATAAAAGGATAGAAATGAAAAGGTAAAAGGAAAACTAAGATGGCTTTGTTATTTTAAAAGTCAAAGTATGAAAATTAAATGGGGTGATTTGTCCAACTGCAACTTATTAGGCTAATGACTTCAAAAGGAAAATTAAAGCACAAACAACTTAATGTAACTGACAGCTAAAAAGATAAATTTTAAGTCAAATGTACACAAGCTACCATGAACAAATTACACATCAATATTCTTTAAACTAACTTGAAATAGAAGACTGTATTTAAATTAATATCTGCTCTATTCCAGTTGATATTATTGTACTACTTTTCAATATTAAACTTACACTGGTCTCTATTGCACTCGCATACCAATTTGACTATGGCAAGAGCAATAGTTAAGAAATTCATTAAGAATTGAATTCTGATATAGTAAGTTGAAATTGAGATCAACTGGTTTGACAAATATTTTGGTTTGACTATGCTAAATCCCTTTAATATCAGTCACCAACATGCCTTATTTCATACATTAATGAGATTTTACAGCCATTACATTAACATTTCAACTAAACATAAACTACTTCTATCCATAAAACCAAATTCCCTTCAAGATATAGGCCTACAGTTATTAAGACATTTAGCTAGCTGTCATTTTCTACTTGTTACATGTACCATTATCTGCCATGTTAGACATGCTTCTCCAACCCAACATTTATTACTTACACTTCTTTATAATCAAAGTCAAAATCAAGTCACAATATTACTTAAACTAGTAATGAAGTTTCAGAAAGATGTGTAGAATAATGTAAATCAAAATGATAATTTTAAAAAACTAATGATAATGCTAAGAAGTAATGATAATGAAAATAACGATAATGGTAAAAAATAATGATAATGGAAATAACGATAATGGTAAGAAAAAATGATAATGAAAATAACGATAATGCTAAGAAGTTATGATAATGAAAATAACGATAATGGTAAAAAATAATGATAATGGAAATAACGATAATGGTAAGAAAAAATGATAATGAAAATAACGATAATAGTAAGAAATAATGAAAAATACAAAGTATTGGGTTCCACTTGTCAGCATTCAGCTCAGAGACAAACTATCTATCTATCTATCATCACTTCGCACAACTGGGTTAAAAGTCAAAAGGCATAATCCAGACACCTTGTAACACTATGTGATTTCATTTGTCATCAGAGCTTGTATTGCACTCATATACTTACAATAGTTTTTATTGATATACACTTAAATAACTTACGTTAAAACCAACAATCGATACTTGATGCATGCTATCATTTAAATATCTTAAAACACCTAACATAGTATCTAGAGCATCTTGTATATGATTCTCTAAAACAGGATCATCACCACTAAACCTTAACATTTCCTATAATATATAACACACATTGTCTTACATTATTAAAAAATTTATATAAAACAACATAATGTTTCCTTCTTATATAAATTTAAGATTAATCATTATTCATTACTTATAATAATAATACTAATAATTAATTATTATACATCCATCAAAGCTAATACCATGACCATGTTTTAAGTCAAACATTAAGGTTATAATATCTGACTGTAATGATACCTTGATGTTTGGATGAACATTAGCCATATTGGCCTCTATGTGTTATAAGTGAAAATATAAACAAGATTTACCTTCAATAAGAGTTGATATTTAGTAATTCTCTGTACAGGTTTTAATAAATAAGCTCCTAATGGTAACTTGTGACCTAGTTTTTTCTGACATTCTTTAAAGAATGGGTTGGAATCACCAATATGAGCTCTTAAAGCTTCTGATCTAGGCTTATTTTGACAATAAGAACTATACATCTGAAATTCATCTTTCTGTAAAAATAAAATAGAAGAAAGTCAATAAAATAAACCTTTCCCTTGATGAAGAACAAAAATTTAGTTTACACTTATGGATAATTTACTTTATATATATTTAAAAAAATCAACTGGTTTTCATCAAATTACTATAAATCCAGGAATCCATCAATAAGAATAAAGAACTTCAACGATCACAGTCCTACCAAAAAATGTACCATATTATGTGCTTACCCTATTTACAAAACACTTGCCAACTCTACCAGGCATATCTCGACAATTCTGTAATTCTTGTAAAAATACGCTGAAATGCAATAAAGTATATATTATAATATATTATATTTAATACAAATACTTACAATACCTAAACCATAAAATAATTTTGTTTTTCATCTTTAGAACAAGTGCAGTATTCCAGTCAAATTTTCCTCCATCTTTAAAGTTGTTGATAATAGAATTTGCCAGCTGATAGAGTCAGCTCTATCTGTAGACTACCTGACATAATCAATAACAATCTGAATAATAGATGGATAGCTGATATTGAATTAAATGAACTGGAAAATATATTTAGATTACTTTGTTTCTTTAAGTTAAAATCAGTTTACTAGTAAATCAATAGAATGCTACTTAATACTTACTCATTATGAAAATTAAATATTTCTTCTAAATTTCCAAATAAAACATGACGTTTTCCTACTAATTCACCTGGAATCAAATGCTGCATGTGTCGACTATCCATTTCTTGATAATAACCCTAGGAATAAATTAAACTTCAATAAAAGAAGACACAATGCATAGCTCTTATGATAAGTGCCTAATTAAGTGCAAATACATTAAACAATGCCTGGCTTCTAATACAGGTGGAGTAGTTTTTACTCCAAAAATGATCAATATACAATCATATGATATCAAGTTAGATATCAAATTTCAGAATAAAACTATATGGAGATTTACCTTGAGGATTTGTTGTAATTCTGAGACATAAGCTTGTTCAGTATCTATTAATTCATTCATTACATGTCTAAAATATAAACAAATTAAAAATTTTCAATTTTCTTAATAAGGTGATTCATTTCTTAAAACATACCATGTTTACATATACTTTGTAATGCATCTAATATATTTTTACTGACCTTTGTTTATATTGTAATTTATTTATACTGAGCTTTGTCTATTTTGAATGTAATGAAGGCCCTATCGATACTAACCTTTCTACAGATTATAACGTATCTTTATTAACCTTTGTTTACACTGTAATGTATCAATACTAACCTTTGTCTAGACTGTTTTGTATTTATATTAACCTTTGTTTACACTGTAATGTATCAATACTAACCTTTGTCTAGACTGTTTTGTATTTATATTAACCTTTGTTTAGACTAATGTATCAATACTAACCTTTGTCTAGACTGTTTTGTATTTATATTAACCTTTGTTTAAACTGTAATGTATCAATACTAACCTTTGTCTAGACTGTTTTGTATTTATATTAACCTTTGTTTAGACTGTAATGTATATATACTAAACTTTGTTTAAATTGTAATGTATCTATACTAACCTTTGTTTAAACTGTAATGTATCAACATACATGTGTACAGGTCGGGAAAAAAAATCTGGAGATTTGCCTTGAAAAATCTGGAGATTGGGTGAAAAGTCGGGAGATTTTTCCATACAGTATCAATACTAACCTTTGTTTAAATAGTAATGTATCTATACTAACCTTTGTTTAGATTGTAATGAATCTATTTCTGGTAAAGAAGATACAGACATAGAGGATAATGAACTACGTTGTGTATGAGAATCTGTTGTATCTGCATAACCACTACTAGCTATACTACTAGATTTACTACCATAACCAGATGATGGTGGATTCATATTTACATTATGGTCATGTCGTATCTATAATAAAATATAAAATTGTATCATTCAGTACTTACAATATGGGGGACCTGTTTGTACTTTGTACACAACTAAAAGTTTACTGCATTGTACATTGTACAGTGTCCTATATCAGGACTATTTGCCCAATAATGTATAATTTTCATTTTGTTAATCAGAAAAAAACCAATTGACCATTAAAACTAACAAACCTGAAAATTTGTGTTTTTGTCTAATGATGTATTACTACGCCTGGTATCAGATTTGCGTCTGAACTCTGAATTGTAGTCAGACTGTTGATGAAGCTGATGATGATGATGATGATGAGCTGGTTCAGGATAGACATGTTGCACTGGACGATTGTTAGGGTACCGAGTTAACTTCTGTAGACTTTCTTTACGTTTAGCAAACATCCCTTGTACATCATCCATTCTTTTCAATACTTGCTGTACTGTATTCTATTATTATAATATTTCAACTTCAATCTGGTGTTTTAAACTTAATTAATATTCTTTTCAATTTCATTGAACCTTTGAGGTCAAAATACTGGGAAGGTCTATTACAAAATATAACAAAACCATTCTAATATAAAGCATTGTATATTGATATAATAATCATGTAAAGAGACATCAATTTATTGGTCAAAGTTTAATGAACAAATAATTCACAGTGCATTCTAGTAACTTGCTACCTTTCAACCACCCAAATCCCTAGAACATAGCAGTCACAAACTAGGGAACTATACTGAATACCACACACGTTACCATACATAACACATAAATAACCTACTCTCGTTTCTGGAGTCATCATATCTTCAAATAGTTGTCGGAACTCTCTTGGATTGTTGAGTTTTAATTCTTTAGTTGAAGAAAGATATGTTTCTATATCACGTAAAGCTAATTCTGCACCATGAGGTGTTTGACAATTCTCTAATGGTTGACTTGCTAATAAATCTACACCCCTTGAACACCATTTATTAGCCTAAAATAAACCATAAATCATTGGAAACTGTCATAAAACATTTTATCTTAACGTACCAACAAACTGATACTATTTAACACTTTTCTGAAATTAGTGACTAGACATACAAAATACAGATTAGCTCACTTTGATGGTAGTTTACAAATTATTAAATTAATTAAAGTCTAGTTGTCTTTTCCAACATTTTAAAGATGCCCAGTCTTGTAATAAACTACTTTTAAAACATTTCTTCTATAAAACTTGGTAATTGATAAGAAACCAGGACCTTATTCATTCAATTTTATTGTGAATTATATAACAGAGCATACAAAATGGAGTTAGCACCCTTGCATGACAAATTTTTCAGATATTTATTATTCGGACTATAATTGATTTTTATTTTTTCTGATTCAAACGTAACATATATGTTGTTACTAGCCTAAGACAGAGATAAATATTAATTCAGTAATATTATTCTTGCAGACTAAAGAATTCATCACTTTTCATATATAAAAATCTAATAAATCTTATCCATATTTAAATATAGCTTACCTTATCTAGCCTTTCATGTAAATCATGGGACTTGTTGAGGATTTCTTGTCTTTTTCTCATACATTCTTTATACTGTTCACACATTCTCTGTAACTCCAGACATTTTGGTCGAATACAATCTACGGCATAGTTGTCATCTAGCATCACTTGATCATTTGATTTCATTCTCTCTGCTGCTTCAATATCTTTCTGTAATTAGAAAATAGAAACATTAATCTTAATAAGAATATCATAGTTTTCACCATGTTATAACGACACTCTGATAAAACTAATCTATATTTTGTCATGTAACAACACATGCTACAGAAAAGTACTTGATTCACATGACTACATTCCATGTTAAATCAATTCTTGAAGTTCATTTAAGAGCACATAAGCACAGAGCTATTTATTATTTAATTTAAATTTGCCTCTGTAAATATTTATGATTGTATGCATATTTTCTTGCCAGGTTATGTATTATATTGTCAAATCTTGTATCATAAGTCTTTTATCATTATTGTCAAGTTTTGTAATATATTTTTGTATCATATTGTCAAGTTTTGTAATATATTTTTGTATCATATAGTCAAGTTTTGTAATATATTTTTGTATCATATTGTCAAGTTTTGTAATATATTTTTGTATCATATTGTCAAGTTTTGTTACTGATGATAATTATACAATATATATGTGAGGATTATAACAAATTGAAGATGTAAAAATCACTTAGTTTACTAAAAGGTTACAATGTTTAGAGTCTGAAAGTTATTTAAAAATAGGAGGTGTTTAACACGCCAGTATTATAATCCTGTCTCAAGATCACAACAACAAGTTACTTAAAACTACCATAGTCATGTAGAATTTCAATAAGGTTACATTTTAAACACTGTCTAGAAAATGATTTCAAACTACTTGATTAACTGGTGTCTTCAACACCATCATACAATCAACCACCATTACTTCTGATTTGGATAAAGATTCCAGATTAAGGCATAGGTTCTCATCTAAAGCAAAGTTGGCAGATGTTGCATGTTAGCATGTTGGACCAGTGCTGACAACTAAGCTGACACAAACATGTGAACATGCACTTATTTTTCTATAAATTCCATAAGTATCCATATTATTCTACACATTTTCAAGTTGTACTCAGTAAACTTTTTTAAAGAAAATAAAATTGATGAGAGATTGTATGTATTTAAACTGCTATAGTATAAAAGAAGTATCTCTATAGAGAAAATTATAGACCATCCTGTTTTCAAACAAATTGTACAATAAGAAGAATATTGAATGGTATACTGTTTAACCTATAGAAAGATCTTTATGTCAGTCTCCTATCCTTTCTTAGATAGCATGTATTTGAATAACTTTACTGATATGAACTTTTCTTCTCAGCAGTTATGTGTAAGTTTCAATAATTGGGAATCTATTCTATTATCGAAAAATGTGGCAAATTTCAAGAAAATATATGATTGGCAGTAAAATCTGTAAAGATACACCTAATTCTCAATCATAAATCTTAACATAATTTCTGACGTCAACAAATAAGAAAATAAAGAAAAACTTGCAAAATAGTAAATACTCACTATAGAGCAAACACAATCAAAATTCATTTAATCCAGTAGAAGTATCGCTTACAAGAAGAATGATAAAGTATGCCAAGACTTGCACTTTCTTTCAACTACAAGACAGCAGGTAATCCAAGTATATCTTCTTCCAATTAAAAACAAGCTCTGTTTTAATAATCTATTACATCCTTGACATTGTCCACATCAATCAATAATACATGTATATAATCCACAGACCAATAAAATCCTTCAAGAGATGTACTATCAGGAATGTAAAAGACAATGCCTATAATAGTATAGTATGAGTAACACATTTAAAAGTTGATGATAAACAATAGCATTATTCATACCATAGAAATGTATTATTTATTGATTATTTCAATAGTAAATTCCTAGGGTAAATTAAATCTTAATGATTGAGAAAATCTATTGATGTTAAAATGGAAAAATCCAGCACAGCTGACCTTCTGAGTCTGTGGTCTGATTCGGACAGTACAAAATGGTCTGAGCGCAGTAAGTCTGATTTGGACAGCAAAAAATGGTCAGATACAGACAGCACAAAGTGGTCTGATTCAGACAGCACAAAATGGTCTGATTCATATTTTTATCCCTTAAAAAGAACATGGGTCACAATATTCCTGTTTTAAAATGGCATAAATATGATGTGAAATAATTTTACCATATCCCATATCATTACTAGAATAACTTCCATGCCCACTTTTGGGAACATCTGATGCACCAGCAATGTTCAGTGTTTGTAGTTTACACATTTTGGGAGACTACGTTTTACTTCAGTACATACCATTAAATTACTGTCCTGCACTACAGAGAAAAATATATTTTTTGTGAAAATCTGCTGAACATAAGAAACTTTCATTAATTTCACCTACTTTCAAATATCTGAGGTAAATCAAAATGAACCATCAAACAATCAACCACAACCTACTGACCACTATTTAATATTTTAAGTTATATTTATAAAGAGATATGTAATAACAGTTTTATATCAATAATAACTGACCTCCACCTGATAATATATTCTTATCAAAGTTATAATATTACATTGTCTATATATTATAACAGGTATAACTAACTGCTCTAAGGAACAATTTCAAGGCTTGTTAGTTTATCAAAAACCCACTAAAATACATGTACCATAACAAACTAGTTATCTGTGATATGATCCTGAGGGTAAAAATGTTAAAATCAAAGTTGAAATCTTGAATTCAGTCAGAATTGCTGTTTATCATAGCCGAGAATTTTTGTTCTTAATTAAATGAAATACAGTATCATTTTAAGAAGCAATCCTGTGGTTTCTATGGGTGTATAGGTATCAATACTTGTTGAGACTGAATCATACATTATCGACTTTATTTGCAGAATAATTATTCATGCTGGAATTATTTATGCTGTTAAAATCTCGACAATAACACTTAAATCTAACAAAAACATTTCAATAGAATCAGATAACATACAATTCAACTTTGGTTTCACTCCAAAAAACACTGATCACAATATACTTGGTGGCATTTTATTACACTGATTATCTTAGATTATACCACACTCTGTTAAACTTTATTACATTTAATACACTAGATTACACTAGGTTACTCAGGTAGAGCTACTAGGTCATATGGGACTGGATACAACACAATTTAACTACACACTGAACAATGACAATACATGTGTCTCTGATAGACCCTAATATACCCCTCATTTCTAATGTTAAATATCTCCAGCTGACCTCCTACTGTCAACACAGATATACTTAATCTATACTATAATCCTTGTAAATAGGTTAATATGGTGTCTTACAGAAAATAATACTTTATCTTACTAAGATGTAAAGATGCATTAAGAAAATATAACATTCAGAAACTAATAAATAGTGTACAAATGACATTAATGAAAATTCAGATCACAATCCAAAAACAGATCAAAACATGAAAATCAAAATTGAACTCATCACAAGAATTCAATTTGGAGACCAGATCAAAATCCATATTCAAAATAGCTGTAAAATACTAAATCCAAATGAGAATTCTGATACTTGATTTTGAGAAGCCAAACAAAAATTTAAAATCTACCTTGACAAACTCTCTATCTTGATTGAAAACAGAGTTTGTAATACACGTTTTTATGAACAGACGCGACATCGTCTTTAACAAAAGACAAGGTTTGTTATCAATATGTGTGTATATAATCTATAGTTGACTGAACTGGGGTATATTATTAAACCTAGAGTTATATCATTAGAGGGTAGAGAGAGCGTGTGAAACTCTTGCTAAAAACTTGTTTGGTCATTTAGAGCATCTTGTGACTCCTTTGTTAAAGAAGATATACTTATAAATATATACGTAAAATATGCCACAATTGTCTTGGATTGCATAAACACACTTTGTGGTTACCACAATATTTCCACTTTGTTATCTATTGTTATGTCACGTTTTATAATCAAATGAAAATGCATAAGATTGCAAAAGCTAAATTTTGCAAGAGAGGTGGTGGATAACCATACTAGATCATCTAGCTAAAGCAAGGTTGCTCTGTACAGAGATAAAAATTTAGCAATAACTTCCTAAAAATATACAATTACTTGTCCTTGACTGAAAGCAATTTCTCTTAGCTGCAGTTATCTACCAGACAATGCTAATCAAACTAAAAAAAAGAACTATATTTGCATGCACTGATTGAAATTAAAGTTGTATAACTAATTTACAGTTGAAAGAATAATAATTGATATATAAATAATTAGGTGATGTGTAAATTAATAGAAGAATAGGTAATTAGCATAGATAGAACAATAGTATTACAACATGAACATCTGTGTATAATATCTGAATATAAACATTCAAGACTTTGTGTGACCTACACAATATGTTCATGTCACGTTTATCTTAAAAATATTAAGATAATTAATGTCTTGCACAATAGACCAATTTCAAATAGTATTCACATTACTAGTAATTGGTATTTTCATTGTTGTCTGAGTAAGTTTTTTTAGTATATCGATTTTTTTCCATTTTATTTAAGTGAATTTGAATATAAGCTTTAAAATAGCATTAATAATCTTAGAATGACTTCGCGTTAATAAATATATAAACTTTGATATACCAACAAATTTGCTCACAATATTTTAGTCTGAAAAATCAAATGTTAACAAGAGTTTGCAAGAAAGCAGCTTATCATATACACATAAGGGTTACTAAATAATGATGGTACACATGGTGATGACCACCACCATTTCCTTGACATAGGCATTGTACCACTTTAATTTACAAAGTACCAGAGATAATTCCTCCAAACAAATTCACAATTACAGTATACCAAAAACCAATATAGCCAAGTATTGTCTTTGCATCCATGAGTAATTCTGAGTACTTTTCAGATCCTTTATCAGTCCAAATTAATTTATCTTGTCTTGTATCTCAATATATAAATGGATGAGAAATGTATTTCATGAATAAATGAATCTCATATGAGATAATAAAAGTTTTTTTTCAATTACCACTATGAATATATTCACAAATTATCTATCATTTGATTAGGAATTTGACTTATTTAAAGTGACATCCATTAATTCCAAAATATTAATTTAACCATGATGTTGTCCACCCTACCTATATGATCACTGACACAAACTAGAACACCCAGTAAAATTAATTTATTTCCATTCCAATTCATCACATTAATATAGAGAGACTAACTTAGTCTGACCAAATGTAAACTAGACTTTACCAGTGTTACCAGGATTTTGATATATATTAAGAGGGTAATGACAATAATGTCCAGTCAACCATTTTAAAGTCTATAGATCAATATAAATACAGTTCTGGACACAGGTGACTAGAACTTATTGAAAACTACATAATACCTACCACTGGATGATTGAGTAAAATGATTGAGTAAAATCATTGATATGGAACCAATATATAGGTTATATGACAGTAATACATGACTGTACAAATATAAATTTGAGGGGGAACCATGGTTAGATTATTTCTCAGGGCTGAAATTTTTATCACAATGTTGTGAGGTTCCCCAATAAAAATAGTTTGTTTCACACCCACTTCATTTGTAAGAAATTTCAAAATAATGATTTTAATACCTCAAGCTATGCAATTTTGTGACATTTGACCTGAAATATGTGTCAGAATGAATAAAATCAATTTTATTTTCCTGGGGTTTGGCAAATGGAATCTCAACCCCAACAGTTGCTCTCCTCCACCCCCAATTTAGTCTGCCCCCTATGTGTACCCCAAATTACAAGAGGCTGGCAGTGCCACCAACCTGCTCATGATACATCATAAAATGCTCTGCTTCATCCTCTTTACCAAAAATAGTAGAGAGATCATTTCATTTTGAATAGTTTGGTCCAAATCTATGTTTAGGTCTATATAGCATTAAAATTCACCAGGTATTATTCAAACTCAATAGAGCAAGTATGATTGAGGTAGTCTATAATGTTTTATATATAATAAATACATAATAAATCCTGAATAATTTAATAAATTATGTTAAATAATGAAGGATATGCATTGAAGAATGTAGCTGTATTGAAAACTGTTATGAGAGATTATATATTTGTTCCCCTTAAAATGCAGTATTTTCTTTTTGATTAAGTCCTTGAGGTAACCATATTATATGCCTACTTAAAACAGACCAAGAGTTTGTCACACCCAAAATGATGATATGCTTTGTTTCTGGCAGTTATAGCTTTTTAATGAAAATTCTTACTTGATCACGATGAATCTGGGTCCTTGAAAAAAAGCAGTAGAAATCATATCCATTAGGTAAAATATTCAAGATTTTAAGAACATCACATCTGATTTTAAACTTATCACAAGCAAACAACATTAGAAACTTTTTTATACTTTTATACTTTCACTAATGAAGGTGAGTTAAGATCAAGTTTTGTGGCTTAACTACTGCCCTAAATGTAGCCTAATATATCAAAAACTTGTACAGCCTGTAGGTAAACAACCATAATAAATTACACCTTATATTGATACCCATCACTGTCAAGCTAATACAATAGGCTTGGTGTTTCATCATATACAAATATCAACTAGACTTCCTCTTTTAACATATACACACTGAAAACAACCAATGGATGAGCACCAAAAGAAATCTTGCAAATGTTTAGCCTGGCTTAATCATTACTATACGAATATCATAAATATACAAAGTTTATGCAGATAATCAGTTATTAATTGTGACTTATCTAAAAATCTAAATGTATCAATTCTGACTTGTGTAAATGATCACTTACTCAATATCAATACGAAGCTATTAACCAATATATTTATTTTCATCAACACACAGAAAATTCAAATAGAATCTGAATAACCACAGTAAGTCTACAATTCTCCAATAGTGCATGAACATGTGGGTTTTAAACTGAGGACAGATTGACAAGTATCAATATTTGAGTATGCATATTGTACATGTAAACTGTTTTAGTATATTTTACCTGCTATAATATGACAGGTTGTTTACCTTCAAATCTGTCAATATTTTACTTTTCTATTATAGGGTGTGAAATATTATGACAAGTAAAATATGATATATTGTTTCTCAGAAATAATAAGATTCCAGACTTCTGAGTGCCTGATCCAGAAGAGCAAAATGACCATGAAGAAAAAAATAATTTCGTTAAAAGAGCTCAATTTTCCAATATTTATCAAACTATAGTTAACAAAGTGTGTATGATTCACACATAAATGATTGATTTATATGTGAGTATATTTTCCAAGAAAGTATTGATATATTTCCTGTTTTTTAAAAATACTTAACATACAATCTAATGAAAAAGTAAGTATGTAATGGCAATTAAAGATGTTTACTACATACCTATCTGAGAAACTTAGACCAGACATTTTTATACCAATTAGGTGATATGTCATATTTCTATAAATGACACGTAAAGAATTCCCATGAAAATAAGACTATATAATTATAACTAACTGTGTGAATAATGTCAGAAATTGGTATTTATGGCATCACATATGACATTGACACAAAATGGTGATTTGAATTCTTACAACTCCCTCCATACAATGAGACACAAACTTCAACAACAATATACGTGAGCATAATTTACTAATTATACCTGATACATCTCTTAAGACTTGACACATAAAATTTTAAATACCAGTGCCAACAAAGCTGAATGTACCAAAAGACCAATGATCAACAAGGCTGAAAGTACCAAAAGACCAATGTTCAAAGAGGCTAAATGTACTGAAAGTCCAGTAATAAAAAAGGCTGAATGGACTGAAAGACCAATGATCACCAAGGCTAAATGTACCAAATGACCAATGATCACCCAGGCTGAATGTAATGAAAGACCAATGATCACCAAGGCTAAATGTACCAAATGACCAATGATCACCCAGGCTGAATGTACTGAAAGACCAATGATCCACAAGGCTGGATGTGCTGAAAGTACAGTGATCAAAAAGGCTGAATGGACTGAAAAACCAATGATCAACAAGGCTGAATGTACCAAAAGACCAATGATCAACAAGGCTGAATGTACTGAAAGTCCAGTGATCAAAAAGGCTGAATGTACTGAAAGTCCAGTGATCAAAAAGGCTGAATGTACTGAAAGTCCAGTGATCAAAAAGGCTGAATGTATTGAAAGTCCAATGATCACCAAGGCTGAATGTACTGAAAGGCTGAATGTATTGAAAGACCAATACTCACCAAGTCAGAAATATCTAAAGTCAAATGACCAAAACTACCAATATTAACAATATTCTCTTTAATAATAAATAATTTCATAATTCAGGATATACCTATAAATTATTATATCATAAACTAATCACTATTATTCATAATATCAATTAATGTCCAAACATAGTCTACAAGACTCAATATAATCTATAATTAAAAACATTTATATAGAAAAAATGTTGATTATTTTAGAAAATGATGTATATTTCTCTGATATCAATTACTCAGTTTGAATTTAAACTCTATTTCTAAACTGTCATCTTGAAATATTGTTGATAGAGTTACTTTTTCACTTCATGATGTAGTTGATTTATTGAGAAATTTTCAGTTTACAAAATTAAAGTGCTTTGCTTTCGTCCAGCATACCTTCTGAATCAAAACAAATAAGGGGAATTTAAAATATTGTGTAAAATATCTTTAAAAGGTTTCTGTTTTTCAAAACATGAGCAAGAACAAGGAAAAGGTTTGTTAAATTTGAGGACAAATATTTCGATAAAGATACATTAGACACACTTCATAAACCTGCCTATAGCCATTGTCCATCTTTATTCAAGTGGTCAGTTTGTTTAGGACAAGGGTTGAATTCTATTGTCCATTGGGTTTTATTGACAATATAATGATAGATGTTAGGGTGTTTGGACTGACCTTACCAATATTAAATAGCCTCTGGTCAGTTTGAAGGACAATGGTTGAAGTTAATATCTTGTAAGTATTTAATCTAAAGATGACACCTAAAGTGTATAAACATTACCTACAGTGGTCACCTTATTGATCCAAATTCAACAAGAAATTTGTGATATAAATTGTACTTAAAGACAAATGTCATAAAGTGACACAATTCCTTTGTTAAACTGATTTCAGTAGTAACCCATTTATAGGTTCCTCAATAACTTAAAGAAAATCAAACAATTTGGCATGAAATGAATAAAGCAAGAAAAAGAAATATGAGTCATATGAGCCAATTTGTAAGGGTTCCACTTTCAGAAAGTGTGGCATGTCATGTTGAAACACAATGACTTTGAATAAAAAGTAAAACCATAAAGGAAGACACCAGGATATGTCTCTATTTAAAATAACTTAAATAGATAATAAGCATTCACCTACAAATCATACAATAATTCATAATACATTGTTGGGAGCCGCAGTGACTCAGTGAGTTAAATGCTTGCTCGCTAACCTTAAGGTCCAGGGTTCAATCCCCACATAGGCCGAGATGAAACCCCAAGTGCTACAGGCTGTGCATGTTAAAGATCCTTCCAAGGTTGGAAATCAAAAAGAGCAGGCTAATGCTGCTGTCCTGGCAAAATTTTCCTCATTGCACCCTGCATGGCGTTGCCCATCTGTAGGTTACACAATCTTGTAATTGTGATTTGAGTTTTGTGACATCACAGACTTCACATTCTTGGTATGAACCAAATAATATTCTTAAACATTACAAGTTTGAAGGAAATACCTGTCTGTGTTCTAGAGGTCAAGATATTATTTCAATATCAGTATGAACAGCAAGATATCAATGTGAGTTTGAATATTGATATAGGAATATATTATATTTTAAGCTATTCATATCATATTGATCTTTTAAATCTTGTTATTATGTACATTTCATATTTAATGTCTAGTTTGAATAGGTTTCATTTGAATATTCAAATTTGATGGATTTATTAATATTGTGTGGTGTCTACAAGTTTTTCATTTACCTGTCCTGCTTTTCATAACAAAAATCAGTGACTTTTAGATTTCTTAACAATAATATGTTTAACAAAATACACCTGGTTTCAAAAGTACCACCTGTATGACCATTTGATGGCTTCATGACCATGTGCTGCCTGTATGAAATTTAGCTGTCTATATAGTGCTGCCTTTATGAACTTGTGTTGTCTATATTGTGCTGCTTGTATGATTATGTACTGACTTTATGAACATGTGCTGTATGTATGAACTTGTGCTGTCTGTATTGTGCTGCATGTATGAACTTGTGCTGCCTGTATGATCATGTACTGGCTTTATGAACATGTGCTGCCTGTGTGAAGTTGTGCTGCTTGTATGAAGTTGTGCTGTCTGTATGAACATGATCTGCTGGTGTCTGCTGCATATATAAATTATGATCTTGTCATTTCGGATTTAGGATTATCTTACACTTTGATATTCAAATTAATAATTAATTGGTATATTTGATTTAAAATTGAATTATTGAGGTTATCAACAGATCAGATATTTGGTGTATGAGGAGAGGAACTAGAACATAATTAACCAACAAACCTTATAATTATTTTACTAATGATGTATTATTGATATGTTCAATATGATAATATATGATATAATATGTAATATGAGTATATAATATCATGTTAACAGGGTGTATATCCTGTCTATCCTATATCATTATATGTTTACATGGCTAAAATATCAAACATAATAAATTACATTACCAACAACTATATAATCAGCCTATTTATCTAAATCTAAATTTATTTCATGAAAATCAAACTAAAATATTATACACCTGTCCTGATCATTTATGGTCATTTAACTTCCAAGCAGTGATAATTCTGTACATGCATGGATTTGAAGGCTAAAATTTCGACTTTAAGTGACTTACCATAATTTCAGGGTTATCTTAAAAAAATAGATCCAATCAAGATTATGTGACCTATGTGCTCTGTTCTTAATATGTATATCCTGAATACTTCTTACTTTATGAACACAAATACAGTTTCCCCAAAAAAATTTTAGTTTATTTTCAGAGTAGTTTTGGATACAGGATTATCAAAAAAAATAGTGGATTAACAAACAAAAGATAATCCCTTTCAAGTGTTATAGAACAAATCTGCTTAACGAAGATATAACCTAGATCAAAAGAAGCTCTATTTAATGGTCCTTATAATTAATCATTGAATAAAAAAAGTTGTAAAGAAAGGAACTGTAGACGACACCATGTAGATAATAGTCATAAGTAATTATTAGTATGTTAATCTATAATCTACTAGTGATGGTCACCAATACTGATCCTAGACATTGATATTTAAGTACTTATAAGTAATTGGTATAGGTCTGTTATCTGTCTGTGTTTGTTTGAATTATTTGAGACTATTTTTCTTTGTTACAAATGAGCAAGAAATCAGGACCTTATTTATGAAAAAAACTATTGGATAGAGTTCATATATTACTTAGTATAATGATAGGAGATCACTTGAGTTGTCTTGTATCTTTCTGTTGAATAGTAACTTTCACCCTACTCATAATAAAACTGAATGTAATAAAATATTTCCTTGTAAATAGTTGCCAGAGTACTACCTATAAAAATTTACCTGTTCAAATTTGATAAATGAACATAAATGAGCGTAAATATGATACCATTTTCTGATCTACAATATGAGTACCACATCAAGT